TGTGGCTCCCACATCAATGTAGGGACTTGGTGTGCCCCACTTCCTGATGTGTTTCGACTCTCAGCTCTGGTCTCATGGCCACGGGCTCCCCATGGCACCCTGCACTAGGTGGGGGACACTAAGGTTTCTGGATGATCCTGGAGGAGTTTGCTTACAAGCCAGTGGGAGACTGGGGCCCAGCCCTGGTGCAGTACAGCAGGCTTGTCACTGACCTTCCAGCCCTGGTGTGACCGCACTCACGGGGTGTCTCTCATCCCAGACACCTTCCTGTGGAAAACCAGGGCTGTGATTTCCAACTGGCACAGCAGCCTGGCCCCTGCGCTGGGAACATCGCTCATTACCAGGGCTTCGCACCTGAGGTGCAACTCTGACAACCCCTCCCGGGCCAGTTTGGCCAAAGTTCCTGGGGCTTTCACTGGGAAAACACACTTGTCGCCTCTTATTAAGTTATTTGGATACAGCAATTCTTAGTATTGCATAAAGCCCAAGGGGCGAGGGTAGGGATGTAGCTCAGCAGCACTGCACCTGCCTGGCAAATGCAAGGTCCCAAGTTCGATTCCTGGTACTGGGCACTGACTCGAGGGAGGCTTGAGCTCTATCGCTGTCCTTTTAATTTTGTGATAGGGTCTCACTGAGTTGGCCAGGCTGGGATCAAATTTGCAATTCTCCTGCCCCAGCCTCTGCAGTAGCTCAGATCAGCAGCATGCTCTTCCCTTCTTTGTGAAGGGGTCGACTCTGACCCAGCAGGCTCCATTTTCCAGCAGCAGCACCACAGCCATTGTGCATCTCGTCACAATCACCCACGCATGGGTGCACACACGTGTGCGCACACACACACATACACACGTGTGCGCATGCACACTCGGACACAAGGAGGCTATGGTTTCCAGAGAGCATCGAGCCACAGGCTGCCTCTGAGACTCAGGACCGGACCGCACCGACAGAGAAGCTGCCTCCAGGCGGCTGGGCGAGTCCCAACAGGACGCCGGGCAGGAAGAGACGCTGCCCGCTCCCTCGGGACCTCTCCCTGCTGTAATTTACTGGATCCACCGGGGCTCCTGTGAGCTGCCACATTTCAAGGGTCCCCCTGTTACAAGAGGTCAAGAGAGTTCACGCGGGCCTTTCGTGCCAAAGGAACTTGAAAGGGAAGGAAAGGAAAGGAAGTATGTATTTTCAGCTGCAGCTATGATTAAGTGGGCTCAGGCCACGAGGACATGCAGATGATTTACATGACATTACATGAAAGCCAATTAGCCTAACAACTTCCGAAAAATATCTAGCACAAGAACACCCATTTATTAGAGCGCTTGGAATGCGCCAGCCATTGTGTTAAGCTCCTTTACAAGGATATAGTGATTCATCTGCACTGCGAGACAGGCGGCGGGGTGTGACACCCATTTCTCCAGGAGGAGGCTGTGAGCCCCAGGGATGGTCAGGGACCCGTCTGGGGTCCCAGCTGGCAAATGGCAAGGCAGGGATGGAAACTCAGGCCTGCCCAGACCTAGAGCCACAGCCTTACTCACACCTGGGCCTCTGGGGTCCTGCTCCCGCGTCCTCCACAGGTGGTCCAGTTCCCCTGGTTCACTGCAAGTAAAAGCAGGCTCAGGAGAGAGGGCAGAGACTGAGGGAGAGTGCTGGGCCCTCTCACAAAGGCTAGAGCCCACGCAGAGACCTCCAGGTGACTCCCTAGGTCCTCTCCGTGGCCTCTCTATGCGACAGGAGTGACAGAAGTCAGGATCCTAGATCTCAGCCACTCACCCGACACATCTGTCTGCTAGCACCACGAAGAGATGAGGACCCCTCCGGAACGTGAGGTCACCATGGAACCTCCACTACAGGCCCATGGTAGTTAGGTGTGGACTCAGCAGCCTGGCTTGGAACAGACTCTTCATTTTTAAGCGGTGAGAGCCTGGGTGACTTTAGTCAGCCCCTCTGAGCTTCAGTTTCCCCATTCATAAAACGGGGAGAGCAGTCCCTATGTCACAGGGCTGGTGTGGTGATGAAACGGGGTGACGCAGGGTCTGGATGGGATGCCGACACACACAGCAGCCACTTGGGACACGAAGCCTTCACGCAGATGAGGCTGAGGGAGTCGGGGCTGACCGGGCCAGGGGCCCCTGTTGGGGTGCACCGGCCTTTTGGGAAGCAATCCCCCGTCGGCATAGACCAACACAGCCCCCACTCACTCTAACGATTCAGCTTCTCAGAGCACCAGGGGCTACTGAAGGACAGGACACCTCTCCCCTCCCCTCCGCACCCAGAGCTACAAACACAGCGGCTGCTCTTCAGTAGGTCCCGGGACGTCTAGGGTGGCCATGGACGTGTGACCCCCACCTCCCTCCCGGCCCCAGCCCTCCTCAGCCTCCGCTCTCTCTACTTCCCCTCCACTCTTGTCCCTGACCCCACAGGGCAGTGTCTCCCAGACCCGGGATCTCACAGAGAAGCTCAGGGTGGGAGAGTGGATGGATCAGAATACAATGTCTGTAATTGCTGCTGCCAAATAAAGGCATTTAAAAAAACCCGTTCCCATCATCACATGAGTAAAGAAAGGGTTCACACCAATAAAGCAGAAAGACCATAATCTTTGGTTAAAGGCTAATAACACCAAGCTGAAGAAATTACCCTGAGAAAACCAAACCATAAACACACTCGCCCTGGCTTCTCTCCTTTCTCCACAGCAGGGGAAGGTGCCAAACCCTCACCCTGGGGGGAACTATGTTCTCCCGTCCCATGGGCCTTCTGGACTGTTCTGGAAGAGGCTCTGCCTGAGCTGGAGGTGCCCACAAACACCTCTAGGTCAGGGGGGTTTTATTCAACTTCAGCAGTGGTTGCTCATCCCCAGCGAATGGTACAAGCCCAGCGGACTGGCTGGGGGAGGCCCCTTGGTCCGGGCTCCCAGAGTCACATTGGGCAGGAGCCTCCGGTCAAAAACCCAGCTCACACTGGGGGTGGGGGGGCAGGGAGCTCCAGGGGCAGGGTCCTTGTGAATCTCCAGCGTCAGGCTGAGCACTAGTGCCCAGGCTTCCAGCCCTGCGAAGGGAAGAGCAAAGGTCATCCTAGCTACAGGGGGGGGGGGGTCAGGACGCCCCGCAGGGAGGGCAGATAGGATCTGAGCACCAAGAAACTCGGCCCGGGTTCTTTGATCGGCAGCCAGGCAAGCCCAGCCTGGACCCGCAGGGGCGGCGCGGCTGTCTTCCGGACTGGCTGTGAGCCACCGCCAAGGGTCCTTTGGAGCCCTGAGCTGGAGAAGCTTCCAAAAGCCCTTTCCCCAAAGGGGTGGGCGCGTCTGCACCCCAAAACCTGCTAGGGGAGCAGTGTGGGGAGGGGCTGAGGTTTACTGCATGGCCCACACAGCCCGTGTCTTGCGCAGACCCAGTGGCATTGCTGCGGCCGAGCATGCCCTGCAGGTCCGTGTGCAGGCCTCCTGGGGTGCCGAGCAGATGCACGGGCGCCGCTGCGCGACCCAGCGTCACAGTTCAAGGACCCTGAGTTGCAACTTCCAGACTCAATCGCGGCGGACCCAGGAACCCCATATCGGGATCCCGTAAGCCCACGTGGCTCCCCAGAGCCCCGAGGCTCCAGCCGCAGGTTGTGTGAGGGGTGCTGGGGACCGCGTGGACGGCGGGGGTCCTTCCTCCCAGGCTCGTGGGTCGGGCAGGATCGCCCATGGAGAGGTAGGAGCCGGGCTGGGTGCCAACTTTCCCGCGGCGGGAGGGCTGCGGGCTGGAGCCCGGACTGGGGCGCATTGAGCTCTGGGGATCCTAACTCTGCCGGGTTCCTCGCGATCCCAGGACAGCCCCGAGCAGCTCCAAGCCCTTGAAAGCTCGGCCTTCA